CATCGACCTCCCTCGTCTTTTCCTTCGTCGTCGTCGGTGCCTTCGTCATCACATCGGGACAACCGTTTCATTCCTCAACACGTTCCACCCTACAAAATCCCGCATCAATCGACTTCGAACCTATCACATCTACGGTTGACCATCGAGTATGGGTCATTGTCGTTGGGCGCAATAAGTACGAATTATGCTTAATTTAATTAAATATTTTTTTATTATCATTATCATATACTCGGTTATTTATTAATTTAATTAATATTTATTTTTTGTAGGTTGTATCCCTCTTATGTTTGCTCTTGCTCGATCGTTAAGACATTCCAAGAGTATGTTCATATTTTAGGATGGATGTGGAAGAAAATGAGTCTAGAGACAAAAGACTTTTACCGGGAAGAATTTAAGGTACTAATTTCTAAATTTTATTTGATTATATTATTTAATATTTAATTAAGTAGCACAAAATAATATGCAAATAAATTTAGTAATGTTTATTATTATTATTATTTTTTTTTGCGTAAATCATTTAAGTGGGATGATGATTTGAACGAGAGCATAGTTAAGAAAGCATGGAAAAGTCTCCCACGTAAGCGATATTCTAACTTTCTTTGTCGTCTAAGAAAAAAATCGAAGTCGGCATATATCTCACGGAAAATATGGGATGCATGGACAACGGAATGGATGAAATCCGAGGCCGTTGCTTGATCCGAGATGGCGAGCACGGAACCGTAGGAGCAAGACCGATGGCGTCGGAGCCGGTCCTTTTAGACATACAGGGGGATCAATCGGCCATAGAGAGCACGCCATACGCATGGTAAATAAATATATATTAATTTATTTATTTATAATTTTTTAAAAATAATACCTAAAATAATTAATTAAACATTTGAATATATTTAATACATTTATATTTATTTATATATGTTTTCGGCGTAATGTGTTGGGTCGTGAACCCGATCCTTACGAGGTTTTCTTGAGGACTCATCGGAGAAAGGTTGATGATCGGTTAGTCTTTCTTGATCAATGATCGAGGGTTATCGGAGTAAGTGATAAATTTAAAATATTATTTAATATTTGTTAGTTAATAAAGTTATTTGACATACGTATTTAATATGATATGTTTCATAATTATACAAGAGACCGTACAAAGATTAATTAATGAGGAAGATGTTGCTAGTCGACAGTTGAGAGGGACCGAATCGACCACACTTGACATTAATGACATATTTCGGAGGGCCGTTGGTGGAGGAGATAGTAGGAGAAAGAGGATGTACAAACTCGGGTTACATGCATCTTACTATTATTCTACCGTCAATGTAGACTCATCTTCTGCTACTTCTAGATTCAATGCAGTCGATGAGGCACGAGTCGAAGGAATTACAAGAGTAAACATCCGCAAACACGACATACATCAATAACTTAGAAGGTACCGTCAACGGCCTACGAGGCCGAGTGGCATCGTTGTTGGATACGACGAATGAGTTGAGAACCTATAGTCGACGAGCAGTATACGATGATGTCACGGATGCGACAGATGTTCATGCGGCATTTTGACCATGGTGGTAGTTCATTCGTCGTTCCCGAAACCGACGACGACGCAGCCCGACCTCCGGACGACTCCACCCAACCTTCAACTCGATCCCGCACATTAATTTATTTTAGCTTTTACATTTTCTTGTATTAATTGCAAGTCGATGTACTTGTTTTTTTGTTATTTAATAATCATTTAATTATTTAGCGACGTTTTAATACATTTCGAATAATAAAAATTTATGTTTACAATATTTTGGTTATTTTAAAATTGTTACTTTTATCTCATTTTATTTTGGTTGTAAAAAAATTATTTTTCCAATTAGTAACGATCTTAGTAACGGTCTAGATTGTCGCTAAAGATAAAAATATTAGCAACGGTCTAGATTGTTGCTAATATGTCTCTATTTAGCAACGGCCTTACCAAGGGTTTAATAGACCGTCTCTAATTTCGTAAGTATTTATATCGACATTTAGTGACGGACTAGCAACGTTTTTTACCATCGTTAATTTTGCAACGGCCAAAACCGTCACTAAACTATACCGACGAGCTTTTTAGCAACGATTACTAGACCGTTGCTAATGAGTCGTGAATTCGTTTTGGCAATGGTTTTTTTAAATTTAGCGACGGTTTTACCCGTCGCTAATGTGCCTTTATCTTGTAGTGTTAAGTAGTTTGGAGTTTTCACTTACAGTCTATCTTTTTAAATTTGTCAAATAACTTGACTCCAATATCTTTGTTAGGTTGCTTATTTATAATCTATTTTTTTGAATTTGTCAAATGACTTGTGTTTTAGTATTTTTGTTAGACCGTTGGGTCTTTTTGAAGTTCGATGTCATATTAAATTAGATAATTAAGATTAAATTTTATCGACTCTTTTTCAACTTTAGTTATTACTTATATGTTATTTATTTATTCGATGTATGTAAGATAGTTTTTCAAGTAACTTGAGACTAGTGTACATGCATATTGTAACTAAGAGGGTGAGAGTTTAGGAAAATATCATCTTACGAGCCCTACATATAGTGTGAAACAAAATTAAAAACAATATCTATCGTTAGTTGAATGCTATAATTAATGTATAAAAGTTGGACTGATGCCCATGCTTAGCTTGAGTCATCACAAAGAATTTAAGAGGTCTAAATTAGAATCCGTTGCCCGGTCACTTTATTGGACATTCCATCCTTTCAAATTCTTTGACACTTACTGGCTACAAGTTCTTCTCGCGCTGCTTTGATCATTATACAAAAGCAACTCCTGCTTCCCCAATTCCACTGTAAGCAGGGTTTGAGGACCATTTTATTTTTTAGAGAAGAATCCAAAGGCATAAATAAAAGCCAATTGTCATGCAGGAAACAACAAAAGAAAGACTAAAGATAAAATTAATAAAAAATGAAAACGAAAAACGAAAACATAGTATTAAGGATGATGAACAAAATGTGCAAGTTCAATGTACCTCTCACTCTCCAATAATAGGTGGTCAGATATATACAAGAAAGAAGAAGAAGAAGACGACCAAGAAATAAGAAATGATTGTTTCCAATATAAATAATGCATGGAGTTTAGTATTCATATAATAGACTCATAGTAACGATAAATAAAAATAATGAGTTTGATTATAGATTAAATTTACTAACATAATCATGCATGAGATCTGGGTAGAATATTGCATATAATTGTTGAGTTCTTTAATTTGGTCAAAGATTCTGATCACAAAGGCCAGATGTGACATGCTTATGCATGTATGAGGTGGTAATGAGTCCAATACAGAGGCGGCTAGTCGCCACCTTCACCATTTGGGACCTTGTCTCAGGTACACGTTCTCCCTTGGCTGGCTAATTATTATTTTTATAATAAATTGGTTAAATGGTACAAATTCTTTTTAGCTTTGAGTCATTTCAGAATTAAATTTTTAACTTTTATTTTCAAATTAGATCTTTTTAATTATTTTTTAATTTAAAATTAGATCTTTTTATTAAAATTTTATCTATTCTAACAATAGAAGTATGCATGACTTTTACGTGGTTGACTTTTTAACTTTCTCAATAGTATAAAATATATCACAACTTATAGATATTTTATTTTTTTCCTTCAAAACTTATATATATATTCTAATTTTTTAGTATTTAAAAGGAAAAAAACAAGTTTTGAAGGGAAAAAATAAAAAAAAATCTATAAATTTTAACATGTTTTTAAGTACTGAAGAATTGGACTTACACACAAGTAGGCTTAACCTAATGTTTCTCTAATAAAGAAAGGTTCAAGTCAATAATAAAAAGAAAAAAAAATTATACTTATAATTTAAAATTGATGAAAACATAATAAAATGACACATTTCAAATGAAAAATAATTAGAGGTAAGTCCAATTCAAAATTAGAAGTTAAGGGATTGATTTGGCTTAATAAATTCTAGCTTTTCATTTTAGATAAAAAATGTTAAATCATAAAAGATTGTAAGTGAAGTGATAAGAAGAATGTTTTTAACTTGCCCCAGGTGAGATTCGATCCTTACCTCTAAAAAAACCTACTTCTCTTCTTTATCTTGAACTAGCCATGCTCTATTGGGTGAGTTCAAAATACCCCACTTCTAAAATAGATAAAAAAATATATATATATGTTTATATATATATATACAAAAAGATAAATAAAATAACATTATATGCATATCACATTTTTTTTTATCAAAATAATAAATTGTGTCATGTTTCTACAAGAACAAACCAATATTAAAATCAAGATTGAGAAGAAAAAAAAAACGAGAAATTCAAAGGAAGAATGGAGACAATTATGGTGGGAAGTATTTTAATGAATAAAATAGAAAGGGTCGAGAATTCAGCATTGTACCATAAAGTTGATGTAAGCAATATCATAGGGCGTCTGCTGATGAGAAACAAACACAATTTTTTTTCCCCTTTTTCGCGTCACCGACCGATGGCCTCAGCAATCAGCTGTTGCCATTTCTCTGTCTCATCTGCAAATGAGTAAATTATAAATTAGTCCCTCTATTCTTAAGAAATAAATTAATTAGTCTTTTTTGTTTTGAAAACAAATTATTTATTTTTTAATGTTTTAATTTTGTCAATAATTTAATTCTTTCATCAATTTTCAGTTAGATTAGTTTTTTCTCTAAATTACCCTTTGTTTGATGGTTTATTTTTCTCCTCCATCCATTATTTTTTAGAACAAAAATCAAAGAAAGAGCAATATTTTAGAATAAAAATCATTAATTTAAAGAAAAACCTATGAAAATATTAATTTATTGACTACATTAAAATATAAAATCTAAATAATTAGTATTTTAAAAAAGAGGATTAATTAATTCATTTCTCTAAACAATATGGACTAATTTATAATTTACTGTCCACAGATTTGTCAGACGCATTTCTCACTCCATCTTTATATAAAGTAGTCTTTTGTTGATCCATTCTCATTCCTCATCTTCTAAGAAGCCCGCACGAGCACACCAGATATTTCAACTATGGAAGCATATAATTCTTCTACTTCTACTTGTTTAACTTCCTCATCAAGGCACTTGAAACAATACTCAGAAGAAACAAAAGGTCTCAAAATGCCACAATCTTACCATTCATCTCTCCATTCAATTCGAAAACCCCAGATGAAACCGTGGAAGAAACCAATAGCACCATTGCCACCAACCCCGCCAAGAGTTTACAAGGTGGATCCGATAAACTTCCGGGACCTTGTTCAGAAGCTCACTGGTGCACCCGAGCCAGAGCCACAGACTCAGCCAAGGTTCCAAAGCGTGGCACCTCCTCCACTTGATCTTGCTAGACCAACATTATTTGGTGCAGACATTGCGCCCATACAGCTCCTTCCTTCGCCTTCGAAAACTCCATTTTCTGCCTTGTACCAGGAGTTAATGTCTGAATCATTTGATGGAAAACCCAAGAAGATATCAGATAGTACAATGGCCATGTCAAGTTCGCTCGAATTGAATCTCTCACCATCTTCTCATGCTTGGTGTTCCTTTCCTCTTCTGAGTCCAGGAACTCTTTCCAGTCTTGAGCAAGGCACCGTGCTTTAGATGTTAATTATATCCCCATGCCATGTTTTACTTCCACTTTTAGCACAATTTCTTCTAGCTAGCTAGTTTGAAGCAGCTTTTTTACCCCATTCCCTCTTACTTCTTTTCTTCCTTTAGGGAATCATTTCGTCTTTGCGCACACAGATGCCGTTTAAAACCACAGTTCTTTACTTTCTAATTAAAAAAACAATATCTATTGAATCCGTAAACTTTCAACTTCTTAAACCCAGAATAATCATCAGCCCTGTAAACCCTAGACTATGTAGCTAGGTCCTCATTTGTGTACAACAATGTGAAGCAATCAATGTATCAAAGACTGTTGGTTCATTTTCCTTCTTTTTTTTATCCTGATATTTCACTTCAATGTAAGTAGCTAATTACCATTAAAAAGAAAGTTTAGCATCTGATCCAGTGCTTAATTCGTAACAGATGTGTAATCATTGGTAATTACTTATGTTCTGTGTGATTGCTTGTGTGAAAATGCCATCACTGAAGCTTGTAAGAAATTCAATTGGCTAATTTGCAATTGAACCATTGACATGCACATTAATTTTTAATTTTTAATTTTTTGGCTTTCTATTCTGCTCTAGACTTATTGATCCTTAACAAAGCGAGAAAGATACTGGTATTTTTGAAACGCATGGGTGTTGTACATACTAGGGCTTAAGATTCATAGCTAAATACTACTTAAACACTTTCATCTAACAACTTAAACTATTAGATTATTGATCATCCTTACAAATCTTCGCATTGCATATGAGTCCGATCCATTTAACAATGTTTCCCTCTCAGCGAAAGTGTTTGTAACCATCCCGAGTGTGGTGTAATATCTTGCTCAATGTCCTGAAAATGGCAGCAATAATACAAGTCAAGCCCAATCCTAGGTCAAATTATCGGTTCATATAATTTGATTGTTATTAGAAAGTAATATAAAATCATTCATAAGGCCTCATTTCATATCTTAATCTTTTGATTGAAATAGTTTTTTAATATAATATTAAAACGTTGATAAGCAAATGATCATAAGTTCGAAACTTAACACTCTTAAGTTTTCTTCAAATTAAAATTAAATAATGAAGCACAAAGTAGTTTTTACTTGAAAAGATTTGTTAGGAAATATTATAAAATTATTTATAAAATTTTACCTAACAAATTAAACTTTTAGATCGAAATAATTTTTTAACAACCATATCTATTTGTGAGTTTTTTGTGTGAAGAACATTAAGAGATATGCGTGATTAGGTTTTAGAATTTTAGAGATGCTCTTTTTGTTGTATTCTTTTTTTTTTTTTTTATGTATAATAACAAAATCTTGGTATTGTCTTCATTCATATAATTTGTGTGTTTATTCTCCTTAATTATATTGTGCACTATACTGAACTTTCCTAACAAAATGGTGTCGGGAATGGAAATAGTGAATTTAATTAGAAAGAATCACTATATGGTGAAGGGTGATGCATAAATGGTGGTTGTTCATGTCCTTCTCGTCGTAGCATATAAATTAGATGGATATCGAATTTGTTGCACTGAAAAATTCTTAAAATGAAAACACAATTAGATGTAGGGGAAAAATTACAATTTTTTATTTTTGATTAATATCATAATTAGAGGCCAAAGGCCTACAAAATAGATTAAGTAGTCTGTTATAGTTAACTAAAGGCTAAACATGAAATAAAAATCAACATTAAGTCCGAAATAAATTAAAGAAATATACGAAAAAATATATAAAAATACATAAATTAAGGAGCTAAAATCTCTAAAGATGTGCAACCTAGCTAGGCATGTTCAACGAGACTGAATCTCAAAACACCTAAAAGTGGGTCTTTAGAATGGATACCTTAATTGACAATAGACTTTGAAGACTTTGTGGTCTTCATAAAATTATGTATTTCTGAATCAACATTTCGAATTCATAAAATTTATGTCAATCGAACAATAAGGTTAAAATTTATTGTTTGTCAAAAAAAAAAAAAAAAAAAAAACAATGCTCGTTTATCCTTTCAAGCTATCTTTTTGAACTTTCAAATTCCTAGCGAAAGTGGTTAGGAGATGAATCAAATAAAAAAAAAGTAAAAAAAAATCATACAATATAAAGATTTATGTGATTTGGTAAGAACAATCATACAACACAAAAATTTATATGGTTCGGCAATTATTCCTACTCCACGACTTTACTAGGATTTTGTATTAGGGTTTTATCAATTAATGGCTTATAAATACAAGTGATATTATCTCTATTTATAATGTGGACAACTAGGGTTATAACAAAAAAGATCTTGCGGACCTATACACTTGATCTAATATTCTGTAAATCTTTCGAGAGTATATCTATATTAATCTCCTCAACTTAAAAAAAAATGTTCATTAGTTTTCCTCCAAATTAAAATTGATATATTTAATTTTTCCATCATTATTAGAAAACCAAGAAATCATGTGATGTTACGTTAAAAGATTAGTGGAGAAGCTGGCTATTGCTAGAAGTTGACTATTTCTAAAGTGGAAAACAAAGAGATAAGATTAACTCATTTTAATTGATGAACAATGATAGTTCAAATATCTTTTAATACATATCTATTGAAATGGACAAATAACTAATATATATCGATAAAGAAACAATTTTCTAAGATATTTAACTTATCCTTATGGCCATGTCGCGATGTAATTTATATCAATTTTCTTTAACGTGATATGTAATTTATTTTAGTTGTTGACACGTAGAGTCCCTTAATTACCTGCCAAAACCTCTTTAAATGTCTGTTTATTATTTTTTTTCCTTTTGTTTTTGAGGGTTGGAAAAAACACATATACGTGTATATACCTTATTCTTTGATGAACGAAACTAAAACAAAAACACATATACATGAATAAATAACGAGTTTTGGAATTGTTAGAGACTAGTTCCAAATATCAAGTACTTTTGACTCGATATTCAAATTTGTAATATTTTCTTAAAATTAGTGGATTCGTTTTTCATCCATTTAGTCGTGGATTTTTTTCCCTATCTAGGGTTTTAAAAATTCTTGTGCTTGATATTTTTATTCCTTAATTGGTTAGTTGTATTGTTAATTACCTATTTGTATGCATAATTGTTCTTGAGTTATTGATTTGAGAGCTTAATAGTGAATTCGAATGCACTGTTTGGCTTTGGATCAAGTTTTTAACATTACAGCTTGTTTGTGCATGTAAGTTAAAAGATCATTGAATCCGAAATTCACTTAATTTGATTTCAAAATCCCCCAATCCCCACCCCCCTCCAAAAAAAAAAAAAAAAAAAAAGACAGAGTCAAATATGTCAAAACAAAACGAAAAATAAAGTAATTAAGACAATCTTTTTCAATGAATGTCAACTTTAAAGAATCAATTGAAGGACGTGGGTTTATTAAAAGATGCATTGAATGGAAAAAAATAATAACAACTGGGAAAGCAATCTAAGGCTAGCTCTTATTGATACACAATTTCGGATGGAGACACTTGTAAAGACTAAGCTAATTAATAGGCCAATCATTCAAGAAGCAGGTACATATTTAATTCCATTATATAATTGTAAATGGGAATTAAAAAAAATAATAAATTGGGATGTTTGAAATAATTGAACGTTTATTTTAGTATTAAACACTATGCACATCTCCAAAAAATCCTTTTGTTAAGCTGTGACTTGGTGGTCATGCACTCATACGGTGGGAGGCCTATTCTGCTGAATTCAAAGCTGATAATTTACTATCTATTCATATATTGACATAGGCTGTCTTGCTAGTGAGTTCATAGAACAAATGATAGACAGAAATCCAAAAATACAGTTTAGAAATATATATATATATATATATATATATATATATGTACTACTTAGTTAACAAACCATAATTTTTTATCTAGTTATCTGATTGACGTAAATCTAATCAATCCAAAAAGTTAATTTTGATGTCCACAATAAGATTTACTATCATGATCATTAAGAATCTTTTTAAGCACAAAATCCACTTTGAAGACTTACTTTTTAGTCTTTTTGTGATCCAAACTCACTATAAGAAAATGACGAATAAAAAACCATCACTAAATAAAATTAGCGATGGTTTGAAAATCCTCGACAAAATGCTTGTTGCTAATTTTTAACAAAGATTTTTTTAAATGCGTTGCCAATTTAATTAAAACCATCGTAAATTTTCAAGAAACGTCGTAGCTAACATCGAAAATTAGCAACGACTTTTCAAATTGGTCGCTAACATTGTATATTTAGCAACTAAATTTTTTTAAAAAAATTTTTACCCAAAATTTAAATTGTTTTAAATTAACCTACTCTAGTTTAAAAATTAAAAATATATATTACAAAATTATTATAATATATAAAATTTAATAAAATTTAATATATATTAAAATATTTAATTTGGGATAAAGTTTAAAGTTTGTTATTATTACATGAAAAAGAAAACATAAAAGCTACGAACGATCGGTAGGGTCGTCGGTTGGAGGTTTATACCCAACTGAATAAAAACACATTTGTGTCCCTAACAACATAATTAAGGCGTATTTTTTAATTTATAGAAATCAGACTCCATGGCTAGACATGATTTGTGAGCTTAGAAAGCTTACTCATGGCCAGCAAAGTTCCAAGCATCCCATCCTTTAGGGTCTACAATGTTTAAAAATTTTGACTTGTAGAATAAGACCCTAGAATACTTCTCCATGGCCTTCCCAAGAAAACTGAAGAACTGCCGAACGCACTGCAGCCCTTGAACACAAAGCCATTTGCATCATCTGGATTCCTTCTTCCTTATGCTGTGATAAACCGTCCTTCAAGTACCTGTATAGAACAATCCTACAAATAATGAAAAGCAAACTAATAAAAAACAACATCATTAATCTAAGTGGTCTTTGTGGAACTTGGTAAAGTAAGTACTACTTTACATGTTGTTGGACTTAAAGGCACACCTAATAACTAGATTGGTTTGTCCTTTATATGTGGTAAAGTAAGTACTACCGCCATAGAAATATCCTTTTAGCAT